GATTGACTTGGTGAGCAGCAGAATTACTATGTAAGATTGACTTGGTGAGCAGCAGAATTACTATGTAAGATTGACTTGGTGAGCAGCAGAATTAATATGTAATATTGACTTGGTGAGCAGCTGAATTACTATGCAATATTGACTTGGTGAGCAGCTGAATTACCATGTAATATTGACCTGGTGAGCAGCAGAATTACTATGTAAGATTGACTTGGTGAGCAGCTGAATTACTATGTAATATTGACTTGGTGAGCAGCTGAATTCCTATGTAATATTGACTTGGTGAGCAGCAGAATTACTATGCAATATTGACTTGGTGAGCAGCTGAATTACTATGTAATATTGACTTGGTGAGCAGCTGAATTACTATGTAAGATTGACTTGGTGAGCTGCTCACCAAGTCAATCTTACATAGTAATTCAGCTGCTCACCAAGTCAATCTTACATAGTAATTCTGCTGCTCACCAGGTCAATATTACATAGTAATTCAGCTGCTCACCAAGTCAATATTACATATTAATTCTGCTGCAGCATTACTACACAATTCCCTTAAATAGATTGACACTTGGTATTTTACCTACATGAGCTAAAAGAAAAAGAAAACCAGAAAGTGCATGATTTGAACAATCTAAGAGGTATCACTCATGAAATATAATGTACTATTGCGAGTATAGTATGGAAATAATTAGGTTAATTTCAAATTTTTATTTAATTTTTTAAACTAAACAAAACCCAAGAATCGATAATAGCACAGAGTATGAAAGCATTGAATAATCTATAGATAAGCTCTTCCATAATATGAGTTCCTGAGAATTATGATAAAGCCAGTATCCCAGTTTTGTAGTTGATCTTGGAAATAGTACGTTTAGAAACTTCACATTATTTTAACATGTTCACGAAACCATGAAACAGATTACAAACTACGTTGTTAGCTGCCTGTTGCTGCCATCGGCCTTTTAGAGGTGTAATGGTGGCAGCACCGATACAGTATATGTTTTTGATTTTACACAAAATAACTGACCACACATGAAGATATTATTATACGATCTAGGCGAGAAGGCACTGTGAAGAGGATAGACAAAATGGTAAGAACGATCGTCAAGTCATCCGTCCTCGATGTGTCTGAGCAAACAGGACTCCTTGATACATCACGCCATTAATTTCCATACTCACCACCAGGGAATTGTCTATAGGAGACCGCCCATCACCTATTAGAAAAGCAAATTGAGTTCCAAATTAGGTCTGATAATTAATTTTGTCTTCCTCTTTCACCTACCTAAAGTGTAAAAATAAATCTTGAAAATGTGTTATAAGATTTTGAATTTTTGCAAAATTCAAGCTAGCTAATTTCTACTATACTACTCAACACACCTTAACCTATATGTTAATGTTCATTTCTACAAAACAACTAAGTACACTTTAACCTACGAGGTTAATGTTCATTTCTACCACACCACTCAACACACCTTACACAAAAATTTTTTTTTAACTACATTACTCAACACATCTTAAACTAGACGCTTATTTCTGCCACACTACTTTCTTAATCTGGAATGCTAACACAAATCAAGTTGGTTAAGCTAATTTCTACCATATCGTTTAACATACACGAATATATAATATTGTTATTCGCTTTTAATATACTACTTAATACTTAATCTAAGATGTTAACACTTATTTCTGCTTTATTCATTTACTTAACCAGGAATATTAACATCCATTTCTACTACACCTCTTAACTCATCTCAACTATACCACTTAACACGCTTTAACCTAAAATAATATACACAGCGTGGTCACAA